ACACACACACACACACACACACACACACACACACACACACACACACACACACACACACACACACACCTCTTACAGGTGTTCAGTGTGTTCCGGCAGTCTGACTCAGCTCTTTGTGTTATTCGTGTTATCATGTTATCAGGTACATGTTCAGATGTTCTGACTCAAAGGGCGCGCGCCCCCAGAACACAGAGCCAGATGTGAGCGCGTGCGCTGCTTGATAACACCTGTCAGAACTTACATTTTCACTGGAAAACACGCAAATCAACATTTATACATTTTACCTTCAATATAAATCAGGATGTTTTTTTTTTCTTCTGTTTTTATTGGAGTGAAGATTAAAAAGTGAAACTTCCTCCTTGTTTCAGATGAATTGTGTCAGAAAGGAGGAAGCTCCTGTCCAATAAAGTTTGATTCATGAAGCAGCTCTTCTCCACTTTGTACTCTGTGTTCTGACTGGACTCAGTACAAACTGTTCAGCTCCTTCCACTAATTGATCCTGACGTTATGCAGTGAACCGACCGGGCGGACCCCACGTACCTTTGGCTTGTTGAACGCCTCTGCCTGCGGGGGGAGCTCGGCCATGTTTCTGCCTTCGGGTGCCGGTGGGTCAGCTGCTGCTGCACGCAGAGTCGAGCTGCAGCTCCGCTCGGTTTTATTCGAGTCAGAGACACGCCTCCAAACACCGGCAAGTGCGGGCCGCAGATAAGAGGAGTCTGGGCACGGTGCACGGAGCCTCCTCCCTGGATTAACGGAGCTGTGCTGCCGCAGCTTTGTTCCCATGTGAGGAGAAGATTTACCGTCAGCCAATTAATCATATCGAGCCAGGTCAGGAACCAAAGACAGGTTCTGATCATTACACTCTAAACAACAGGTTCTGACATTACACTCTAAACAACAGGTTCTGATCATTACAGTCTAAACAACAGGTTCTGACATTACACTCTAAACAACAGGTTCTGATCATTACAGTCTAAACAACAGGTTCTGGTCATTACATTATAAACAACAGGTTCTGACATTACACTCTAAACAACAGGTTCTGATCATTACAGTCTAAACAACAGGTTCTGGTCATTACATTATAAACAACAGGTTCTGACATTACACTCTAAACAACAGGTTCTGATCATTACAGTCTAAACAATAGGTTCTGGTCATTACACTCTAACAAAAGGTTCTGATCATTACACTATAAACAACAGGTTCTGATCATTACAGTCTAAACAACAGGTTCTGGTCATTACACTGTAAACAAAAGGTTCTGATCATTACACTCTAAACAACAGGTTCTGATCATTACAGTCTAAACAACAGGTTCTGGTCATTACACTGTAACAAAAGGTTCTGATCATTACAATCTCAACAACAGGTTCTGACATTACAGTCTAAACAACAGGTTCTGGTCAATATACTCTAAAGAACAGGTTCTGATCATTACACTATAAACAACAGGTTCTGATCATTATACTCTAAACAACAGGTTCTGATCATTACACTATAAACAACAGGTTCTGATCATTACACTCTGAAAAACAGGTTCTGATCATTACAGTCTAAACAAATGGTTCTGGTCATTACACTCTTAAAAACAGGTTCTGATCATTACACTCTAAACAACAGGTTCTGATCATTACACTCTAAGAACAGGTTCTGATCATTACAGTATAAACAACAGGTTCTGATCATTACACTCTAAACAACAGGTTCTGGTCATTACACTCTAACAACAGGTTCCGATCATTATACTCTAAACAACAGGTTCTGATCATTATACTCTAAACAACAGGTTCTGATCATTATACTCTAAACAACAGGTTCTGATCATTACACTCTAACAACGGGTATTGATCAATACACTCTAAACAACAGGTTCTGATCATTACACTATAAACAAGAGGTTCTGATCATTACAATCTAAACAACAGGTTTTGATCATTACTGTCTAAACAACAGGTTCTGGTCATTGCACTCTAACAACAGGTTTTGATCATTATACTCTAAACAACAGGTTCTAATCATTACACTCCAACAATAGGTTCTGATCATTATACTCTAACAACAGGTATTGATCAATACACTCTAAACAACAGGTTCTGACCATTACACTATAAACAACAGGTTATGATCTTTACACTCTAAATAACAGGTTCTGATCATTACAGTCTAAACAACAGGTTCTGATCATTACACTCTAACAACAGGGTCTGATCATTACACTTTAAACAACAGGTTATGATCATTACACTCTAAATAACAGGTTCTGATCATTACACTCTAAACAACAGGTTCTGATCATTACACTCTAAACAACAGGTTCTGACGATTACACTCTAAACAACAGGTTCTGATCATTACACTCTAAACAACAGGTTCTGACCAATACACTCTAACAACAGGTTCTGTCATTACACTCTAACAACAGGTTCTGGTCATTACACTCTAACAACAGGTTCTGATCATTACA